CCGTGCGCCCATGAGATGACGGGCCTTGACTCGAACCCGTCAAACCGGCGAATGGAACGCACGGCGATCGGCGTAGCAGCGACTAGGGAGGCTCTCGGGACGCGCTCTGAGCATCCCACCGGCTGCCCTTGGTGGGAAACGCTGATCGATGGCCCCAACGATTCTCGGGTTAGACTTTGCGAGCCGGGGGTTTTTTTTCTCGAAAAGAAAAGAGAGAAAAAAGACATTGCGTCCACGGGGTCCAACCGTGTCTCTTGCGCGAGGCCATCGAAACTATCGACAAACTTTCTGTCTATCGACTGTGCATGATGGGATATCCCGTCGACCAACCCACGCGATCCGCGCCTCACCCGAGGACGAACAGGGGCCTTATTTGCAATCTTAACAATACGCTTTTTCTCACAGAGTTCAGCAATGTCCCAGACGCACAGTTCAGGGCGAGGGGTTGGGAAGCAGCGACAAGTCATCCGCGCCTGTCCGATTAAGCATCTTAGCTAACTTGGGACGGATGCGAAAGGCAAAAAGAATTGAGATTTTCTTCTGTGTCTGCAGGCTCTAATGAGCACACTTTTACCTACTGTGGAGGGGAAAAAACCTTGATAGACATCAAACCGCGGACAGTTCATGCCGCCTCATCCATGTCTGTCTGCGGACCGCTGGGTCTTTTTGTTTTGCTCTGCGGTTGAGCTGCCGCCTCACTTGGGCATGTCTCGAGGACGAAGAGTAGTCTCGAGCATCGCACCTAGTCTTTGGCAAGGCAAGCAACAGAGATCGGATGTCTAATTACTTGCTTTTTCTTTCCTTCTGCTGCGCTTCGGTTTCTGAAAAAGCTTTCCCGAATCCTACTCCTCTTCCAGAATCGTTTCTCGGACCCGACGATCCCCCCAAAAGCCCGACGGGCTCCATAACTCTGAGGATGACCAAGACACATCCATCCTCAGCCAAGGGGGCGTGGACGCAGATGTGTCTTTTCGCACATCAATGCCAGCCCCCACTAGACTCACGCCTCCCCCTTTCCGAAAGGCGCTCAGCCAGCAGAGGGAACACCGACAGATCCCAGAGGAGCCGTGATGTATGCCAAGAATACCAAGACGGCGCTAGAGACAGTGGCTGACAACGCTTAAATTCATGCTTAAAACTGCTCATGGCGCAGTGGCGGCGCCGCGCTGCTTGGCTTCAGTAGCAGTAGCCCTTTCTTCCCAGCCCAGCGCAGGCCAAGAAGGGCTCTCTCCCTTTGGCCATTCGTCGGGGCCAGCTATCCCGTCTAGCAAGCCCGGCGCCGGTGTCTGCGAGTCTGTCAGCCGGCCATCCAGCGTAGGACATGCGCAGCCGCTGCGCTCTGCGAAGGGCACATTCGGGCGGAACCCCCCCCCCCCCGTTTTGCCTCAGCCTGGGCGTGTCTTTGCCTAATCTTGTGTTGTGACTGGACCGGACACAAGGTCGCATGGGCGTCCTGTGTCCTCCCTTTTTCGCTTAACCAATCGAAGGACGACCTTGGCTCTCGGTTGACTACTGTTTGGGGCATACCACTCTGGTACCCACGGGCGGTCCCGCTCTTGCTCTTATTCGTATGCTGCGTCTTAGCATCCGTGGTAAAGAAACACCAGCTACGAAAACGCCCCCAAAGTGAGAACCGCCCAGGTCGCGAGAAGAGTGTTCGGTCTGTGGGCATGCTACTCTCCCCAACACAAAGGATACGAGGGAGCCAAACAGGTGCTACGGAGTGCCTAGCGGCGCCAACCTCGCCCTGGCGGCCGCTCGTCCGTGTCCTTCGTCTCCCGTGGGCGCATACGTCGCCGCCGCATCATCTGCACCCCAAGGCCTGATGGCTCATTCACAAGGTGGACGATGAGGATCACCGCCAAGCCCAGGTTCGTAGCTCGGTCAGGCAGGCCAAGGAGTGGATGGGCTTGTCCCCCCCTTTGCGATACGGATGATACGGGGCGTGGAGGCCCGTTCAATTTTACAGGCAATGCCGGCGACCGACGATCAGCTGGGTTTTGCCCGTCTTGCTCTCAAAAGAACACACAGATCCGTTATTGTTCGATAGGTGGATACAAGCAGCGTGCCGTAGGCCGAGGCGGCCAGGCTTTTGCATCGCTCTGCAATCCGCCCGTGACGGTCGCCGTCAGGGGTTCCCTGGTTGCCTTTATGAAGATGGGGAATTTTCCTTTTTGGCTCGGCCGGGCTGGGGCCGACAAGCACAATCCACACACCCAATCGTTCACTTTTCAAGGCAATTACCCGCGGTTGCCAATCGTTGGCGATCGGGTAAGGGAGCAGGCAGCTCGTGGATGGAGTCGGAGGAGACCATTTCCAGCAAGAGAGAGAGAGATAGAGAGACCAGCCACGGCGGAAAGGGGTTTAGCTCTATCGACCCAGCATTCCTCTGGCTGACCCTGCTGACTCGACGCAGCGCCGCGAGCCACATTCCTCGACTCCTTCTCGCGCGCCCCCGTAGCAGCCTACAGGGCTGATGGTTCTGCAAACAAGCCTTTTTGCCTCCCTTTGACGGTTCGTCTGGTGCTTATGCGGCGGGCGTGGTGAGTGGGTGGTCTCTTTTGGGAGAGGGGGGGGGGGGCGTCGAAGATAGGCTAGAGGAGCGCCTAATGTCTATCTGGGCTCATCTCCGAGAGGATTCTGGCGCCGTCGGTTCCAACAGTGTGCACACCTCGTCTAGGCTGTCGGGAACTTTCTTTTGCCCTCTTCAGCCGCTGGGCCGCGGGTCCAATAGGTAGGTGGTTCGTTTTTGGCTGAGAACCTAGACCGCGCTGGCGGAGCGAAGCTGCACATTCCCGGTGAAGATTGCAGAGGGGCGGCGGACAAGTCGGCCGCGACGGCACCCTTTGTGCCTCTCTAGCACTCCTGGTTATGCTTCAATGATTGTCCTCGACTCGATATTGCGTGGGCGGTTACGAGTATCCGTCTACGCGGCGCGCCGGTGATTGGTTCGTTGCGCTTGCGTTTGACGACTCCAATCCTCTCTCGTGGTCAAACCATTCCGCCCAGCAAAGGCAAACAAACCTTGGATAGCCTTGCGAGGAGGGGGAAGGGAGGGGGGAGGCGTGCCGCTGTTGATGGCGGTGGGCCTTGTGAGCCGTAAACCCGTTCGTCCAATTCGGACTTGGGGAAATACACTACGACTAGGGACTAGGGGGGAAGACGCTCTGGACCAACCTTAATGGCGCTGCTGGTACATCCATCGTGCGCGGCGCGGATGCAGAATGCGCCAGACCTTGAAAGTGATACACCTTAATTTGTCAACGGTTAGCCCGTGCCGTTTGTGTTGCCGTGTTGCCGTCGTCTGGACGGAGACTCGGCAACCTACAGTACCTACTCGAGATGACTGACGGGCTTCGAGGGTCGGTCATAGATGGTTCGAAGGACATCCATCACGAAGGCTGAGGGAAAGAGATTCTTGTAAAGTTCCGCGCAGGCGGCAGCACACCCTTTGGCACGTCCACATCGGCAACAAAAGTGCCCGATTCGCCCGGCCACGTACCTTGCTTCGCACACGACGATTAACCTGCGCATGCGCTCTCTCTCTCTCTTTCTCGGTTCGCCCGCATCGTACAGGCAGCAGAGGTTTGGTTGGCCGGTTGGTTCGCAAGCAATAGCACATGTGCGCAGTTGGTCCAACTGCGTTTCCTGCGCGCGCGCGCCCTGCAGGCGAAAGGCGTTGCGCAAACGGTGCCAAGGGTCTCCCGTCCCTTTTGTGATGGTTCGCCGGGGGAGTCTGGTGGCCAGGTCTCTGGGGTTTGGTCACTCAAATGCGACTTGTCGAGATTTGCGGGAATCGTCTCATTAGAGCCGGTTGTACACATCCCTGGCGCAGACCTGGGCGCAGAGAAGGGGGGCAAAGGGTGGCACTTTGTCAGACATTTCACAAAGTCATGTCAGGCAGGACCATCGTCGTACCCTACAGTTGGCGACTCTGTACGAAAACCCGTCGACTTCCCTTCCAGTTTGGGGCAGGGTATCGTCCGTTTTGCCGTTTTGGGACACTTTTGAAATTGCCAAAGGGAGGGTTTGTGATTGGGAGTGTCACCGATCGTGGCCGCTCGAGTGAGACGATGCAACCTCTCCCATGATCCGGTAAAGTTTGCTCGACTTGACACTTCTTGGCTCTCGGCTCTTTGTGCGTGTGCTTGTACACTCGCTCGCTGCTCAGGAGAACCCGGTCGGGGGTGACGAGGCCCGGCACTGCCTGGGATCTTCCTTTGACGCCGAGTATTTAAGCTCGGGGGCAGCAATTAAAGTGAAGAGAGGGGGTACGTAGTAGGGAGCGTGAGATCTCGGATGGGACGGTCGACGTTGAGTTTAGAGGGTGGGTGCTTGCTCTAGATTTCCCGGGGCTGGCGGAGTTTGCGGCAGCCAGATGCGACCTTGCGAGCGGTTGTTCGGCGTTGGGCGCCGATCGCTAGCGGAACTCTCTGTGAGATGAGCAAACTATGTTGTACGGTCTACGAATCCCGCGTCGGCGGCGATATGCAAGCAGACAGCCAAGTTGCCGAGACTCCACTGGCGAGATAGAGCTCGCGTTGATTACACTTTTGCCGGCTCGCACATGCCGCGAGAAGGGTCTTCCTGGGCCTCGAGGCGTGTTGTTCACAGTCTCTTCTTGAATTACGGCGCGGTCGGGCGCACACGAGGCGTATGGCGCGGCGTACAGGACCTGCCAGCGAATGTGCCAAAAGGTTAAACCCAGCCAATTACGGATCACGGTCCCACGAAGGGGTTAAGCAAGGGCAGCAGTCGTCGGGTGGTAAGGAGGAAGACAAAGATTCACGCTTAAAGTGTCTGTAGGGGATGGTCCATTGAAACCCTTGGATACGTGCCGGAAGGGAACTGATTGGGAGGGTTTCAGCCTCGCCCGCCGAGCGTACCAACGGTGTCCCACGATCGCCCACCCGTCTCGTGCTGCCATGATGTTCGTTTGTGTGCTCCCACCGTGGTTGGCGGCGCGGCGTGTTTGCGTTGCAGGTGTCAGCCGGGCTGTCTTACACGTTTCTTATACACTTGGGACTGCGGGCTGTGCACGGTGTGACAGCAACCCTGGCCTGGTCTGACGGATGACTGACGGGATACACGACGTTGGACTCGGAGCGGTGTAGGTAGGCTGGCGGGCTGGCGGGCTGGCGGGCTGGCGGGCTGTTTGGCACATGGTACTGGTACGGACGAGGCGCCATCTCGTGGGATGGCGTTTTGCGGCTTCAAAGTGGCATCAGGGGGCTTGTTCTTTTCCTGGCTGGGTCTCCAACAATGTCGTGTGAGTGGTCAGTTCAACCTCGCGGTTGGCGGCGACGGGCTTGGGCAGCTGAAAGCTGCATTCCACCCCGTTGGCCGAAGCGGTGCCGTGGACGCTGCCGGACGCCATCCGTGGCTCTTCAAGGCGTCGGGCACGGAGGACATGCATCGGTGCGAGGGCGCCTACTGACGATGGCATCGGGTTGGGCACGTCGGCGCTCGACTGCCCCATGACGTGGCCGTTCCCGGATGCCGCCCAGACGCAAGCTGACGACGACGGGAGGCTGAGGCGAGACGCGGAGTACAGACGATGCGCGATCGCCGCTTACAGAGAGCCGCTTACAACATCAGCTCATCACCTCGCGCGTCATTGCATCCAACATGATACGAGGGAACTTTACCGAGTCAGATACCTAGACAGTTGCAGCCCTCTGTTGGGGACCGAAGAAAGGTCGTCAAGGGAAGAATGAAGCCCTCGCGCGCAAGGGACGTTGTCAAGTAGGTAGCACGGGATATTTCGGTACTTGCTTTCGAGGCACACTAGACTTTTCCACGGCCGCCCAAGGGGGCCTCTCTGGCTGCCTCTCGACTTCAGATCGATCCCAAGGGCCGCCGGGAGGTTTTTCTTTAGAACAAGAATGGCAGAGTTCGCTGCGCTGATCGACGGCTATTCATGCGAGATGCGAAATCAGATGAGGGCGGCCGTCATCAAAGAGTGGCTGTCCGAGGCAGCGCGGACGTCCCAATCGAGAAACGGAACAGTCGCTCAACCCCGGAAATCACCATCACGGACACACACACACACACACACACACACACACAAAAGGCATGGCATGCTTCCTCGTCGTGTGCAATCTGTTTCAAACGTAACGCAGCCTCAAGAGGCAACCTCTGTGAATTCCCGTCTTCGTTCAGGCCGTGGGGTTTGCGAGATAAGCGAGCCGTCCGCATACCCTATGGTATAATGTGATATATGTCGCGCCGCCGTTAAGGGCCGCGGTGCGTATATGTCGACTCGGGCTGAGGAGAATACGGAGTGTCCATTGGGCACTTCTGCATGAATCAATGTACAGTTGTACTATTTCGGGTGAACCGTGGTCTTGTCTCCACCGGCGGTGCGCCGCTGGGCATACGTAACGCCTACTCCTCTGCTCCGGTGATTGCCGTTGCGACCGTTTCCTTCTGATTGCGACTTGCTTACTTCAATTTAGGGTTTGACTTTTGCTTTGACAGGTCGACCTTAAACACAGCCTCAGCTACGTCCAGGTGGGGGGGAGGTATGGCCGAGAACAACAGGACAGATACACACACACACACACACACACAACTCGCAAGACGGCCTCGGTCAGACAGCGGCGGGTGGGTGGGGGGTTAGTGTGTTTCTTGAATCAGGGCCGCCATGCGGATATTGAATGATTGGCATTCCCTTATTGTTAATGTTATGGGGACCGCTGATCAATCAGGTAGGAGATGCGCCCTGTCAAATGATGTCGACGGTGGGCCAAGCAGCGACGAAGAGGGTGGTGCTGCTGTCTAATGGAGACCCCGTTCGCCAAGAAGTGCGCTATTTGGGTAGGGGAGACAATGAATCAAGACAGGTAAGGCGAGAGACCTTTGAGTTGTCCGCTGCGCGTGTCAGCCCACTCTGAACCCCATCGAAGTAGGTAGTAGACAGGATTCGAAAAGGAAAAAAAGCATCAAATCTAACATCATTGCAAAGTCCGAGAGGGCGTGAGGATAGGAGGGTGCTTCCAAAACGCAACATCCCGGAATCTAGGGGGCCTCTGTTTGAGCGTCAAGGAAGGAGAAGCCAGAACCGGAACCGGAACCGAACCGCTGGATGGGCTGGACGGTGTTTGGTCCGTTCGTCCAAGCTGCGCACCGGGCTGCGGCATGCGGGTGCCCTGGATTGCTGAGGCTGTTTGTCCGATGTCTGGCGGTGATACTGACGGTTAAAGTTTGTCATGAAAGGCCGGCGGCATGACGCACTTGTTTTGTTCACTCTGACGGAAAGATAGGGGAGCAGGTTGCGTGACAAAACACCGTCGGCCCTGAAGCTTGCGAGGCAGACCTTACCGTACTTTGCCCGTCGTTGGAACGGGACGACTCGGAGTTGATTCAGAGGGGGACGGCTGACGCTGGCGCCTCGTCCCCCAGCAGCTGCTAACGTGATATGCTCAGCGCCGTGTCGTTCAGGCGGAGGCGACGTGCACCGTAAGCTGAACAGGGCTCCTGTGGGATCTCTCGCCCGATCTTTGGGGCCTTTTTTTGCGACCGACCCAAATGTAGGTGAAACCCCTGGCACGGCGCGCGCTGAGATGCGATGGTCTTGTGGCGAACGGACAGTATTTTCCTTCATTATGCGCAATCACCTTCCGCATACGACCTAGCCAACCCGATAGACTCGGTTCGTAGTGAGGTCGTATCGTACGGGTATGCAAAGGACACGTTTTTTTCCTCATCCTCCATATTGCTGCTGGAGCTAAAAGACCGGGTAAGGGGGGGGGGGAGGGGGGGCTTGTCAATGTTTAGATCCGTTGGATGACCTTGAAGAGCAGCAGCCTGGGCGCCGAGCCCTCGACGACGCCTATTTCGGTATGGCTTCTGGCTTAGTTGACTTGGAGTTAAGAGCAGGGCGCCTGGCGACGGTGACACTGGGAGCCGGACTTGGCAGCAGTAGGATCTTGGTTGTGCATCCTTTTTATTTGAGTTGACACTTTCTATACTGGCGTGGATCAGGAGGGGCCCTTTTCCCCTTTAATGGACACGAGCCCTATAGTTTGTCAAGAAAGCTTGGTATCGACAGACAGTTACGGGGGAACTGGGGTGAGTGCGAGAGTCGTAACGAAGTTCGCCGCGAACATGCGCCGGGGGCCAGCTGTGGTGAAGTTGGAAGGGATCAACATGTTCGGTTCGGAAATCCCGGCGAGCAGCACGCGAGGCTTATGATGGCGCTTGGACTACACTAGCCATGTCATATTCCGACCCGTCAGCTTTCTCACATCCCGTCCAGCCAGAGACAGAGAGAGAGAGAGAGAGAGACATGCTCTGCAGTCACTGCACGACTGCGAGCGAGACAGTGCGCCAGTGGTGGATTGAGTTTTGTCGCTGAAATATGAATCATGTGGTCTCGTCTCGCGTAGACGACAAGGTTTTTCGTGCCCGGCATGTCCAACATGTTGGTGCCAACCCCGATGCTGACGATTCCACGAAAATTGAAGAGACTGGGAGAAGGCACTATAACCATGGGCGCGCGCGGAATGCCGGAATAAGAAGTGACAGGGGTGAGCAATCCAGAGAAGTACTAAATTAACGTTGGTTTGACTTGGAATCAAACCCGACGGCTTGGCGGTGCCGCGCGCGCATGCTCTGTTCAAGGTTGAGGATTGCTTTGGATTGGGATGCCCTGCGCCCAGCTCGGCCAAGCCCTTCCTTTGGCCAGCCCAATTTTTATTTATTTCTCTCTCCCTCTCTTTTGCTGACCAGGCTTTGCCTGCGAGGACGGCCATTTTCGGCTTCAAGGCCAGCCCGCTGCATGTTGATGGAGAGTTGCGCTTCGTTATTGGACATGGACGGCAAACGGCACACCACGGGCACCAATGGAAACAGGGGGAGGACCAGACCAGGGTCTGCGTTGATGGTGTGGTTTTCCTTAATGCTTGGTTGCGGTTATGGTTAATTCCGCGTCTGCCAGATGGGGATTGGCGATGAAGGGTCTTTGGGGTGGAACGATCGGCCAGGAGACTTGATTGCCATCGGGGTCTTTGATTGGCCACGGGCCTACGTTCGCGAATGATGTGTACACTATTGGGTGTGATATATCGATGGGAGGGCTGGGAGTTGAGTGATTTCGCCTACGCCGTGTACAAAGTTTGTGCTGTCACGGTTCCTCCACAGCATGGGTGGTGCGCCCATGGCTCTTTTGAGTGATCCTTTCCTGGGGATACAACTGGCCTGCGCATGTGTGCATGTGCACTCGGCGAATGCACCTGGATGATATACCAATCTCTCGGCGCTTGGCAGGCGGCGGCCGATTGTGTGGTTGTCTGTACTGTGTAGTGCGATATGTCTGGTATGGCACTCTGGGCATACTGCCGTTAGTCTCTGATGTAGGTTTCCGAATGTCTTGGGAGGGTGGCTGAGTTCGACCTTGGATGTCTGGGTGTCTCTCTCCAAGCTCCCAGCTGGGATTGAGCCAAGCAACGACCAAGCCCGGCCGTAGTCCTTCTACATACCCTGTACGCAGAGCCGGCTTCCCGTGCTGTAGGTGTCATGCTGTCTTGCACGACAAGAAGAATCCTGTAGGGACAACTGAGCTGGCCCGCCGTCTGGTCTCTCGGGGTCTTGGTGCGTCTGCACAGCCTTCTTGGTATGTGTCATCTCGCCAAGACCGGTCGATGGGCGCCAAATGGGGACATTTTTGCAAAGGTTCTACCCTTTTCCGTCGGGAACGGAGAGTATGATGGATGGATGGATGGGTCTTTGACACATGGCGTGTTATTTGCATTTTGCCTTTTTTTTATTTTAGTTTAATTTGTGACTGACACTTACTAGCGGCTACCGTTTGTGGGATAGCAAGAGTCAAACCTTCTTTTTTTCCCTCTCGGGTCTGGCATTGCTATTTTACCCCCCCATGGATTGTTTTACTAAGAGGAATGCTTGTCAAACAAGGTTGGGTCGATCCCACCTGGGCAGAACCTATGGTCTCGTTCTCGGGGGAATGAGACGGTGACGGTGCCTTGTCTCCCGAGATTGGAGACAGATCCAAGAAGGATGGGGAAAAGGTTGGTGATTAGGTACAGATTAGGTGGGCTGAGGTCAGCAACCAATCATTATCGAACGTCTTTTACGTACAGAGGGTAGTTTTGGATATTGATTAGCACACATAGCACGATGGGGGAGGATGAGCCCTTGGCTCAGAGCTCAGACCCGGCCTCGATCCCGCTCGGGTCGTTCTGGGATAGGCGTCTACCGGTACTCGTACCTTTACGAGAATCCAATATCCGTTACTTTGTACGTGACGACCTCAGGGCCGACATCATCTATTTGAATACGTCGAGGTGGTGGTCTTCCCAGAACGGGGTTCCCGGTATTGCGGAACGCCGCAAGTGGCCAACGACGAGCAGACAACTCGATCCGGGGTGCCGTTCGTTGCGGACTACACTGAGTGGTTGGTGGGTGCTTCTTGCGCGAAATGCCCTAGGTCGCATCGCCAGCCACAACGGAAGGCGA